ATTTAATAATGCTTTGAGAGCCAGGCAACATGATTGGCTGACAGCAGATATGTTCAGTGTGTTCATGAGTGTGGGTCCAGGCGAGCCACTTGTGCAATTTCTTGCCCCCCCCCCAGCGTTAAGTTTGCTCAAACTGTCATGGTGGGTCAGACAGCTGGCGCTGCTCCCTGTTGCACATGCAGCTGCAGCCCCCCACCCCCAAAACCTTCCCGGTACATTAGAGTGGAGGTGCTGGGCCTCAGCTGGGGGGGGGGGGCGAGTCTGGAAGACTACCATGCTTAGATAATTGCCTCACTTCCTGCTCGCTCGCACATCTGAGCCGCATTCCCACCATGTAATCCAAAAAACCGGCCCTCCATCTGGAATCCACCCCACCCTCCCAAAATGCAACAGTCGGGCCCACAGACCACCCCGCCAGGTCACGTTGGCTGCAGTCAGGCAGGAATGAGGGGCCACCACACTGCGAGCCCACGGGACACAGCTGTACTGACTGACACCGTGACAGACCACAAGTGTTTCTGGGTCGCGCCACTCGAAGAATGCCAGCTAGCCAGTAAACCATGACCACCTCGCCGTTCACCGCGCCAGCCCCCGACGAACCAAACACCACTCTGGCCGGCTTTTCGAGGGGGTTCGGGATACCCTGCATACTGTGGTCACACAATCAGTTAAGACCTCACCATTCTCCCCAGAAGATTTGAACGTCTTCATGCAGTCTGTCAGCGTACGAGACGCACAGTGCATCCGGATTGGCAGATTCAGCAAAGGGGGCAGAGCCACCAGATGGATTTTTTATTTTTGGGGGGGGGGGGTTGTTCCACCCCAACCGGCACTTAGACCCCCACTAAAAAGACCCATGCTTCTGGTTTCACATTTAAAAATAAAAATAGGAAGGCAGCAGGCTTTAGGCGTCTGCATGCACGGCCCAATTACATGCGTGTGTTTTGAGTTTTATTTGGCTACACAAACAAAAAGCGTTTGGTCGCAGCGCATTGAGCCAGTGCGCGGCTTTAATGAAGCGCGGCCTCGCTTCCCGGCCGTCTCCTGTCCCCATTCATTAGCCCGCGCTTTCATCTTATTCCCAAGGGAGACCGTGTTCCGCATTAAGCGAACGAAAACATGACAAAAGACTAATGAGTATCCCCACAGACCATACAGGCCGCCTGACGGGGCCATGGGCTAGCAAAAGACTCCTGAACGAAAATGAAGATGTTTAACTATCAAAGAGTGAAAGAAGCCTCCTTTGTTAAAGACATCAAAAACAGTTCTCACGGTCCATTTCACCAGTCAGTCAGCGACACAAAGGGAAAAGTCCCCTTACAATTGCCAGTAGAGAAAAGGAAGTGAGCACTAACAAACTGTTCACAAACCCCCCCAAGGTAGACATGCTCGTTGGTCTCCGAGCCAAATCTGCAGCAGTTACATTCAAGCGACTGTCACAGCACTTAGAAAGGTGGCTGGCCAGGAGCGGCCCGGACCCGTTTACGGCCTCCACACTCGTTTGGCGAAGAAAGCGCTCCCTTAATGAAGCAGCGGGAGGGGGTGGGACCGGCCGTGAGCCGTGATACCTACTCCATCCGCAGAGGGTTAGGAGAACATTGGACTTTGGACAAAACGGCTATTCCCAAGACAGACGGTCTGACTAAATCCACCTCTGCTCTCTGAAGTTTGTTTATATCAGAGATAGATGGGTTTGCGACCCGACCCTGTGGAAACTCCTCTTTGTCATTCTGACAAAGCCTTTAGATTTTTATATTAACAGTAAATCCAGGCTAACACAAATATTCACTTTGGCAGACATCGCAAAAGGCCGTATCAAACTAATGAAAAAATGCCGTGTTCAGAGAGCGGCTGGGATGGGGGCTCGGGGGGGGGGGGCTCGGGGAGTCTCTGACGTTTACTATGACCAGAACGCACACGCATCTGCCTCTCAAGTTGGGGATTAAGCGCAAGGCTGGGCATCACGTCATCGCCGACGAACGGGATGTGAGAGAGTGTTACACATGCAGCAGGGGATCTGAAACTGCACAGCGCCGGCTCTCTCTGTTCTAAGGTGGAGATTTTAAGATAAACATCCAGTTTCCTGCCTCTCCTCAAAGCGAGACGTCACACTCCGAGAGCGGCCTGGGAAAGCACAGAGCAGGGAGCATGCTGTGCCTGGCCGGCCTCGCTCTTATTACAGAAAGGTCCACACATCTAATAAAACATGACTTCATCCAAGTTGGGGGGGGGGGGGGTATACCAGTCTAACACCACTCTTCCCCTAAATTGCCTGGGGAGGGGCCTTTGTCGAAGAGGCCCTGCCAAAGCCAACTTCACATAATGCGTTTCTACCTATTCTCTGTAGAATAACCTAAAGTTAGGTTAACCCGTTTATTTTAAGCAGGTTCTCAGAAAGCTTGGGTGCCGTGAGGGTTTAGTCACCATCATGGCTCCAGTCAGGAGGCCACGTGAAGGAGACGTAGGACGGGCCACTCACCCAGAAGTGGGCGTGGCAGTTGACCATCATGGTTCTCTCGATGAGCTCGTCGGGGCATTCCAGAAGGTGGTGGCCAGACACCACGCCGGCATTATTGATCAGCAGGTCGATGTCGCCCACCTCCCGCCGCACCCGCTCTGCCGTGGAGTAGACACTCTCGCGCTTGCCCACGTCGCACACGTAGGTGTACACCTGGGGCTGGAACGCGGGCACCTCCTCGATGCCTCCCACTGCTCCTGAGGCCGGGCGGGAACGGGAGAACGTGAGGGGACAGGGTGACCCCACTCGAGAAGCCTGCCTTTCCAGGCAGCCACCAAGCTGGTGGTCTGACTAAAGCAGCCTCCTGGTCATTAGTTTCATTTCACTCCATCTGTCAGAATAAGTTGTTTTGTCATGGCCAAGAACAAATACATGTGCAAACCGGAACGACGTGCCAGTGCAGTCCGAAGAATTAAACACTAAACAGTCATACAACGACACTATATACAATGGAATAACAGGGCGAAGCTGTGAAAAAGCAATACAATCAAGACTATGAGACATACATACAGTGTATTACATAATGCCTACAGAAACCCGGCCTTAGTTTCGGGCCATTCAGGATCTCACCGCGCATTATTTTGGAAGGAAAGAGCAATCTGCAGGAAAAGGGAATCTGCTGGAAGTGATACCGCCCCGGAAGAGTGCAGATACCCAGCAGAGCCCCGGCTTCCCGGGGATGAAGGACAGTCTGACCCGTGCAAACGGACGCAGATAACCCTACGTCTGAACGGCGGTGCGGCAGCACAGAAGCCGTTTTTATGGATTTTCGGGTGGAAAGCGGGACTGTCATTTTAAGGCAGACCCGCACAGGTCCCCCTTCCCGCATGTTTTACACAGCCATGCGGCTCCGGTGCAGTTTGATTTATTTATAGTTAATCAGAAATAGATTATCGACAATATGCACTTGTGAATAAGAAGCAGTTTTACGCGCTAGTTGCGCGTCCTGAAGGGGGCGCTATAGAGATGCCCAGCGAACCAGCGATGCTTTACCGTCTTTGGGTCGGGGGCTGTCCAGCTCACGGTAGATTTGCCGCACCATCTCGGCAGTCTCTTCGTTGCTCTGGCTGTTGATGTCCCAGAGCACCAGCACCGCCCGGCGCCGGGCAAACTCCCGGGCGAACAGGCGACCGAGGCCACCGCCGGCGCCCGTGATCACGCACACCTGGCCGGCCACGCTCTTCTCCTTCGGCCGGATGAGCCAGCGCAGCCCGGCCATCACGAAAGCCCAGAGCACCTTCAGGATGACCACGAAAAACTCCCCGAGGATGTGGATCATGGTGACGGTTGTGGCGAGGGGGAGGGACAGCAGGTCCGGAGCAGGAGCACGGAGCAAAGTGTCCAAAAAGGAGGGACTTGGTGCAATAACAAGCAAGCTGCCTGTCCTTTACGTAACGTTACCTAAATAAGTTACTCGGTGCACGGACGAGCAACCTGCCTCTCTGTATTTTACTTAAATAAGTTACAGGTCCCTAAAGGTGCGCTGATCAGCCTTGAGAAATATAGTAGAAATACACTCGCCGGCTCTTGCAACTACTGACACTCTAAGTCTGTAAAAATAGACACAGTAACAGAGATTTAAACGGGAGTACACCTGCAACTAGTGTTTGCACAAAAATAAATAAATCAGCTGCAGTCTGCCAAGTCAGCCGCTCCCCTTTGGAAATATTCAACAGGTAAAAAGTACCAAAACCTATACTCGGATACCTAGCAAAACTACAATTCAACTACAGTGCGATCAATTTACTGGAAAAAAAACCTGGTTAAAAAGTGGGAAACGCAAAGAATTCCCAAGTACCAATACATATGCATGCAGACAGAAAGCCGGCTGGGAGCGCACTAAGAGCCGTGCCACCGTTGCTGCTGCACTAGGAGCCCCCTGACACTGACAGCTCCCCGCTGCTCTGCTCACATGCTGCTGTTCACGCTCCTTTTAAACAAGCCCTAGTCCGAAGGACCCATCAGATAGGCAGACCTCCCACTGCCTGTACCAAAGTCCTTGAGGCGAGGAGCGCAAGATAACCCCCCACCCACACATACACAAATTAAACCGTCTCCCTGTGTCCTAACTGGTAGTCGGCGAAGATATTAATCGAGCTAGATTTACGGTAAAAAACAAAGTTGTCCACTGTCACGTAATTGTCAGTAGCCACACAAATTTGTTTTCACATTTTCATCAAGCCAATAAGCAATTAGTTTCGTGCATTTCATTTTAACACGGATTTATGAGACCTGGCATACACACATATATATTCATACACGACAATGTTAAACTTTTAAGGGAAATATTCGGGCAGTTGATCGGGCAACAATTACTTCCTTAATAAAATATCGGATCCCTGGATTGTGGGGGATACTGCGCGTGCGTCACAACTATTGGGTGGTAGGCATTTGATCAGTTAGTGGTGACTGTTCTTTTAATAGTTTAAAATTTAATACACTTTTATATGCCTTCTGAAATATGACTGACATACTTTTGAATGTATCAACGGCACTATATATAATAAGAAGTGATTAGATATATAAATAGTATCATATATATGCAATGGGCAAACTTTATGTATAGTCATTTACCTGCATATCATCTCATTATGATATGAGTCCTCCGAGTGCCGCCTTTTGCCTAGAGCGGTATCCCCGGCTCAGAAATGTAAATGATCAGCACGTTTGGCGAGTTGTCACGGAATAGACGCTGTTTTTCCACGGAGGAAGCGTGCCGTATAGGAAAGCCCACGGTACATATGAGCGCATCATTTAGTGGTACCTTCACAGCTTTTGCTTATGTGCTGCTGTCTTTTATCTGTAGAACAGGAAAGTCCAGGGTATTGTCTTCAGCACAATTCACTAAAAAAAAAAATACATAAAAAAATCCCACCTCCACGTAAGCAGGTACACGGTATCCACAGGTACTCATTTTTTCCAATTTTTTTGTTATCAGAGGCAGGCCTTCAGACCCCTGACCAGGACATGCATTATTTTTTTGCGTAAGATGATTCAGTGGCATTAAAAAGATTAAAGAGATCTTAAGCATCGAATGATGGGTGGAATTTACCATGTGGTGTACCGTTGTTAAGGTCGCCTGGTCGAACCGCTTGCAACCCAGATCAGTTCAGCTTGATCCTCAAATGGGAAAAAAACGGATCGTTATTTATTTCTGGCCTGCCAGGGCAGTGTGCAATTATGCTATTCCCTAAAAGCGGTAATAACGCTGGCAAGGGGACAAATCAATTAGGAGAATAACTCGACACAGTTCGGTGTAGTATTTAAGGGCTTATTTAGGACGAAAACTCGCATATTTATTAGCGCATCCGGATACGGCATGGGGATGTCGGATTTACATAATGAATTGGCAGCAATTTATACTAATCCTTTAGTCAGCGTGTTATGTAAAATTGCAACATCGAGTTGCCAGTATAATGGCTTCAATTAAGACAGGAAGTTGGTACCAAATCAACATCAGACACTATAGGCTTCTAACAGGAAAAGCGTTTGAATGAGTAACGATGGCATATTTAAATGTTTTATCTTCTTTTCAGGGAGTAGCGCAATGAAACGGACCAGTTCTGGCCGCACAGCCAACAAGGCGCCTGCAAAGTTATTTCATTTGTATTCTTTTAGTATTACTAAGACGACATACAGGGAGCTGCAGATCTGCACTTGAATATTCGTATTACTCTAGGACCATGTGTTGATTGTGGAGTGTCTTGCTTATTTGGTAATCAGTTTTCCTTCATCCCATGATACTGGCTGTCCTGTCTGTCTGATTCTGTAGCATAAGTGGAACTAATCCATCCATCCATCCATCCATCTTCCAGCTGCTTATCCTGATCAGGGCCACAGGAAATTTGAACTAATATGAAAGTATTTTCAGTGGCAATAAATAAAATACACTTAAATTATACATGCACACTCGCATGATTACCATGACTTTGTAGAATAAACATATAAATCATGAACACTAAATATCTCCAAAAAGTATGATTACAGTTGTAAAACTCTTAGCTACCCCATCTAGATGTCTGTGTGAGATCTCAACAGCATGTGTCGGCATGGAAAATAGAAATGGATTACTTCTGTAACCGACAACTCCCTGATAGCGAAGAAGACTAGTAAATGAAAATGAAATGATCTCCTGTTTACATCAGCATTGTATTACTGGTTCAGTTTGGAGCAAATACAACTAAATGTTTTTTTTTGTCGTTTTTTTCCCTAGATTTATTTATTTTTTTGGTAACTGAGATGAGATGATAAGTAAATCACTAAAGACTTAAAGACATGATTTGTGAAATCTACACCGTTGGAATGAACTTCAAGGCAGCAGACGGCTTTTTCTGGCTCCTCAAGCTGCCCTCCACTCTCGCTCAGCCGCCCGTACAGGACCACACACTTTGCTGGGAGAGGGGCTGCTGGCAGCCGGGGAAGCCGGGGAAGCCGTATCAGCGAACTCGGCGTGACAAAAAAGCCACCGAATGTACTGAGGCTCGCCGCTTCTAAAGGAAACACATGCTGGCGCCCTTTTGGAAAACGTGGGCTACGGGATATAATCTGTGCCGTCTGTTCGAAGAAGAGAGAGATGATATTAATATAGGCTCATATATACCGAACAGCACCAAACAGCTGAACACAGCTCAACCAGGACTGTGTTAGAGGTACACATTAAATGTGTTACTGCTGTGATAAAATCCCTGTGCTAAAATATTAAATAAATAATCTTGAATAATATCTTCCATGATATTCATCCTCAAACTGCTATACTTTACGAGATTCTGAGTGGCAAAATGTGTTATAATTATGCAACTTGCTCTTTTTGAACCATTTTAGTTTTTACATTTTCTTACACTTTGCACGGCCATACTCCCCCCCCCCCCCAAGATGGCTCACCTATATATAGCATACATGCCAGGATTTCCCATGAATATGATTTGATTTGTGTACAGTGTAATGTCAAAGTTGAACAGTGGTTCACTGGAAAACATCGCTACCCTGTACTGCAAGTGTTGGGGTTTGAATCCCAGCCTTGCTCGATGTCTGCAGGCTCTCACAGTTGAATGGTGTCTCTGAATTGGCCCGTGATAGGCTGGCATCCCTCCCAGCATGTTCCTCTGCCCTGTGCCTCATGTTCCTGGTATGGATTCCCCCACCCCTGACCACCCTGTACTGGTTAAACAGATGGATGGGTGATTACAGTTCTGGTAGAATCAAGCAAACTCACATACCAAAAGTAAAATATTTGAAATGCTTCTATTTTTTTACCTTTTAGTTTCAATCAAGTGGTTTACTTTTCCTACAAATATTTTGTTCAAAGTGATAATATTTAATACATGTATTCTTAGTGTTATTCGGATATTTGTTCTATTTGTGATAGCACTTCTGTTTTAGGCTTTTAAAAGTACGATTACTAGGGTTTATTTCACAATTTCAAATCATTTCTACAAACATAATTCAATCATTGTTTATATTATACGATTTAAACATTACGGGGAATAACTGTTGTCACATGATTTTGAATTACTTTGATTACGCCTGAATGAAATTGTAAAGCATTATCGCCTCCCAGTGGTCTTTTATAGGAAGTACCCTGTATTCGATAATATACTGATTTGACATCGAGAAGCGGTCGAAGCCCATGTGGCGCCCTAGGCAAGTTGTCGTCCACGGTGAAAGTTGACAACCGGAGGCAGCTTTGGTGCCCACGTCCTACTAAGTCGCCATCAAAAGACGCCTTAGACAACTGCCCATTTTCCCCTTGTAAAGGATCCACAACTGTTCAAATCCGTCCATAGTTAGAAATAAACGAAAGGCGGTAACATTTATAATGATCACAGCATCTCGGGTGGAAAATCCGAGACAACTTTCAGACTCCGGGATGATATTCTAAGCGGCTTAGATTCGAATCCAAACCCTGGAGGTGTGTGGAAGCAGCACCATCCACCGCACCCCCACTAGGTGGTTGAAGCATGCAAACGCTGGGTCGCGCACATTATGTTTCATTGTTTCATCAGTTTTACTTATAACTTAAGCTTAATATATTATATTTTTGAATGTTTTATTTTCTCACATATTCTGAAAACTATCTCGCGACTCTTACCTGTCTAAGGTAACACCGTTAAACGGTTGTAACTCAAGTGAGAGACACATTATTTGACAATGCCGTAACAAACTCAGTGACGTCATACACAAAACCGGTCCCTAACATCGATAACGCGCTTTTTATTACTTAAACATGTAACAATGCAGTTATATCAAACTGCAAGACAGACATACTCTATTAGATAAGTTTTATAGTCCAGAAGGCAACCTCATCTATTTCAGTGGCCAAAAAGTGGATTTTTCTGCGCGCCCGTGGTGCGGTTTTTCCCTTTCAAATCAAAAATCGGATAAGCGAGACATAGACCGTCACCTACTAATTTAGGTAGGCTATTTGATGTCTGTCAAAATACCATACAACACAACCGATTATATAAATATACATTTATTTAGTTCAATTTATAGGCCTATTTATTCCAAAGTTTAATTACAATTAAAATGAATTAATTAGGTGTAGGGCTTGAGCAGACGGAGCGCAGACTGCTTGGAGCCAGATCTAGAAGTCTGGGGACTGGGCTCCGACACAAATTAAGCACTGGAGACACTTATAAACGTAAACCCCACGTCATGAACACGATAAGACTTTACTAGACATATGGAAACTTAAAAAATATATGTTAAATTTATGTTAAATAAAACACTTAAACGATCGCGTCTTTATATTGTATGATCCGTATCAAAATAGCCGTAGAGTGAATCTAAAACTGCAGAAAAAATCTATATATCAAGACGTTGATGGTGGGAAAATACTTTTGCGTTCCCTCGCAAAAGTTTTGCGCTACTACTAATAATTATTGTACTATGTCCGTTTAAAGACAACCCAAAATACAATTAATGGACTAATAAGTATAAACCTAAATGATACAGACATGCCCAGTTAAGTGTGATTTAAGCATTAAACTAGG